AAAAAAAAAAAAAACCACACACACACACACAAAGCAGAAAAATATATACACTATGGGGTCCAACTGATTTTATGAAAATACTATTGTAATAATTATCAAAGCTTATTCAAAATCTCCACTATTTTCAGTTTCTTCAAATTTGACACTATCATCCAAAATGGAATATGGATTCTTTTGTATCCGAAGGGTTGAAGATCCTCTACTCAACATGAATGGGTCAATTTCAGAGATTCTTTATCGCCAGTGTTTTTGTTCCGGGTAATATTTATCATATTCACAACTTTTACTTCATAAAGGCATACATTGATTTCCTAAAGCAGCAATAAGAAAACGTGTCACATATAATTTACCATTGCACTTGAGAAGGGACCAAGATTTTGCATCTGAGAACTAGTCTGAGATTGACTGAAGGCAGTGTTCATCTCTTGGGCGTTTTCAAAGGTATAACGTGGTGTAGATGAGGGAAAGGCATAATGATTTCCATCTAACAATTCAGGGTTCTCCTGTTTCAACACTTCTGGTTGTGAAGCAGAAGGTGAATCATAACTCCTAGCATTTGCGCCAGGACTATGAATTGGATTACCTTCTGTGGCAATTCTGAGAGACTCATCTCCATAGTACTCAGAATTTCTGCAAGGGAAAGTTTGTTGAGATAAATTATAAAACAATCAAGAAGTAAAATGAAGGGACTTATTATACTAAATGAAGACGTACCTGGTATCCGAGTGCCCAATTGATGAAGCATCTGCATCTGCATCTGCATCTGAAGATGCCTCATCCATGTCCGTTTTCAATGGTCTAGAAGCAAAGGGCCCAGAAAAGGCATCATTAATGCCAGATCTAAAGCTACCAAAACTTAAGTGTGAGCAATCTGCAGTCTGGACTTGCAGGTGATTTGGAATTATGACAGAAGGGCCTTCCTCGTCAGGTGGTGCTCTCTGATCCGCCTGTATATTAACTTGTTCCAAGTTTGTGGTCACTGATGCCACTGAGACACCACCATCTTCAACGGAAATGGAATGACAAAGAGTAAACAAATGTCACCAATTATATCAAAGCAAAAGTTTTAAACAATATAACTGGCCTGGCCCTCATGAGATAGCAAGCACCAACTGGCAAAGGTAATGAGAGTTTTCTTCGTTGGAAAATATTCTCTAGACCAATATTTCACTTAGTAGAATTTGATATCGACATGTAAGGTCTTTTTTGAAGCTAATGTGTAATTATGCAGAAATAAGAAGCAAAGAGCAACAGAGTATTAGAGTAAATTCCATCCCTTTCAATGCCATGTATTCATGTGAGCACACACACACATAAATCATTCAGTGTCTGAATTATTTTTCGAATTATTATGCCCCCATCCTTAAAAAAACATTTCTATTCAATTACAGAACACGAAAGGACAAAAATCCTGTCTCTGGTGCAATCACAGTTAAAAGGCCAGACTAACGATATAGGACTGAAATAGAAGTGAAGCCAGAAATCAAATTCAATTTTCCTTCAGAATTTCCACCAAGTTTTATGTTCTTCCAGTGAACTTTACCAGATAACTGCTATCCCTCGGACTTAGTTCTTCTCAAAGATACAAGCATATTGCCAACGTCAAGCAAAAGCAAAACAGAATTGTGGATTGAAAGCCATCTATTGCACAATGGCTCTTACAATCAACAGCCAGTTGAAGTTCCAACCAAAGTCAGCCACCTTACAAATTCACGCCTATCCACATTGTAGCATAAAATCTTTCGGCACAATATGTTTATCAAAAAACTCAAACGAATGTAACAGCACATTTAGAAGAACAAGAAGTTGCTGTAGGAATTTATCACAGCCACCATAGCAAGCTGGGATTCCTAGCAAGTTGCTGTAGGAACCTGGACACTTGGTGGTTGGTTTTGAATTTATCAAGTGGCTACAGCAACTAACAGCACTGGTTAGTTTTTGAATTTATCATAGACACAATTGGTGGTTAATTAGATGACAGATAGAATTCTAAGAGCAATTATAATTGCTAAACTAAAAGTGATTGTAAATCATCCTGGATCAAACCTAATACCATTTTCGAGACTTCTGAGTTTGCAATTGACAACTTTAATATCTTTCAATGATCAAATTTTACAAAATAATCCGTTCCCTAACAACAATCCTTCATTACGGCTGGCCTGACTAAACACTGAATGCCTGGTCCAGGCAAGATCTTGGAAGTGTGTAGCTGATGTGACCGAATTGAGTCTAATGGCACAAGATCTTGATCTCAATAAGGAAATTAATATATCTATATACTTGCATATGCAGAAAAAATATTTGTAGATCAAATGTGAAAATTAGTTAGAGGTCACCTTCCTGGTGCTCGAAAGTACGACTTTGAGGATGGTATGACCCCATGTTCTTATATGCATCGTTGTCATATAGAGCTGCACCTCCAGCATTATCCTCCAGGATCTTTCTACTGGAAACAGAAGCAGATCCAACATGGTTTGCACTAAGATTTTCAATAGGAACAGCTGCTTCATGAACCTCATTCACCTGGAAACGTACACGCCGCTTAGTTCTGTCAAATGGCAAGTTAGAAGCATCCGGATGCAGCTCAGAATCTGGAGGTGGCTTCAAGACAGAGGGCACACTAGCAGCTGGTGGCTCTTCAATCAAGGGCCACTCATCATCAGATGAAACATGAAGGGCTGATGCAACCCCTGTCTCGGGATTTATAGCTGAATCCTCAGAAGCATGATCCTCAGAAGAATGAAAATCAGGATGTGAGGCAGTGGACGAAGTTCCTTGACCATAAAGATGATTAACACTGTGGTGAGATGGGTTTGACATGCTGGAAGTTTTTCCATGTGGCCTTCCCATCTTCACAATGTCAGCCATTGACACGTGACCGGGGACCCCCAACCAAGCAGGTTGATATCCAGAAGGAGGTTGTGAGGCTGATGAAATACCATCAACTGCGCTTATGGTTGAAATTTTATTTGCAGTGGTAATGGACTCACTGCATCAAGCACTGAAAAATTATACACTTAAAATAAACAAGTTCTTGATGCAGGCTGAAGATTTGTAAGCAGATACGAGAGGAACAATACATGTGATTCATTTGCTATATTCAGAAAAGAATAAAAGGCAACAATCTCCTGAGCCTCCTCATGTTTATGACTATGAGTAGACCATTTGCTAACATATCATAGTTCCAAGTTAGGAAAACCAAAAAAAATATGCCTCAATTTCAGCTGAAAACCGTTAATCAGCAAGATCAGGCAAGACAGATGATAAAATGTAACTAAGAAAAACGAAGGGAGAAAACACATGAGAAAGAACACAAAAGAATGAACATGGTCCAGCCTATAAGGCCCACATCCACGGACCAAATCCCCAAAGTAACTATATCTTTACTATAGATTCTTTGTTCTCAATGCATGAGTTACACCCATATTGATATGTTGAAATACTATCACATCCCATAATCATAAGGATTGAGATAATCAAGAATCCGAAATCCATTTGATTAATCCCACCAACCATAGGACCTTTCTACACCACTCCCCTCAATTGGGCCACAGAAATATGGATTGTCCAAACCGAAGTGCAAAATGAAAAGATTTTTGTTAAAGTATAAATATTTAAGTTACACCCTTTCCAACAACTTAAACTTTTGAAGTAGATGGTTGTTTAAAAAGGTAATAGGGCAAAAGGTCATGAGTTCAAATCTCATAGTCACCCTGATAATTGATTTTCACGTGTTAGGCCCGAAATCTCGCCTACGAGTGAGGAGGCGTGTTAAAATATAAATACATAAATATTTAAGTTACACCCTCCCCAATGACTTAAATTTTTGGTGTAGATGATTGTTTAACAATTTTCAAAACTGCAACTTTGTTGAACTTCTTGGGCCAGGATTGTGGCAGTTGAAATTGCAATAATGTCGCATCGAGCAGAATTTACCAAGACTAGGACTATTATGATAAAAACTAACTAAATAATAAGATGGGACATGTCTATGGAATGACCATTGTGTACATAAGAAGAGATTAAAACATGTATGGAATGAACAACACGCAAAAAAAAATGCAAGGAACGACATTTCATGCAATTTAGGGCCGAAAAGAAGAGAAGCCGGACTAGAAAGAGGTAAGAAATGGAATTTGAGAAGAGCATGGGAAGGAAACATTAAATTTCAGATCCTTGGGTCTTGTGAGATGAATCTGGAGTGGGGTTTAACAAATGAAATAGACCTAGAAATATCAAATCCTTCAGGACAAAACACAATGGATCAGAACATCCTTACATGTGGGATGTAGTAAATCTAAGAGTGGGACAAAGGAGGTCGAACTCCATATTCTCTTTTTTGTTTCGTTTCTTTCTCTTTCACTCTGTCTATTTCTCTCTCTTTATGTACGGATGCAAAGGACTCTGGTGGTTCCACTACATTCATTTCTTTATTGTTAGTGAAACTCCGGAGGAGATATCAACAATGGGGAAGAAGCCTCATAAGGAAGTTGACCATGTGGCCAGCCAAGATAACAACTAATTTTGTTGGATAAACCAATGATGAAATGGTGATTGGCTGATGCTAAATGAAGAGAAACGATTAGTGAATTCTGGTTTGAAAACAAATTACACTGAGAAGAGTTGGGCCTGTCAAATACCATGATAACAACAAAATAAAGTGAGAAAACACAACAATAACAAAAAGGAATTAACCAGGGCAGAAAACACAACAACAATAACAAAAAGGAATTAACCGGGTGCCCTGTACACATAAGTTACAGACATATTTATAGGGTGCAATCCAATTACATATTTGTAGGGATTGAGATAGACAAGAATACGAAATCGATTTGATTGTTCCCACCAAACATGGGATCTTATTGTCTACTCGTATCTTCAACAATTGACTCTACTCACGTATCAAAAAAGCATGACCAGAAGAAAATGTCAACAAAAGCCCAAGCGTTGTGATACAGGATGTATGAAATAGGAAAATCAACTGGACTGCGCTTTTGAAATGTGAAGAACATCATTGCTTTTTAGCCCAACTTCCTTTCCAGACAAGAAATTTCCATACTTCTACAGGTATTGAACAATTTACTGCATATACAGGGACAATTGTGTATGAGCTGTCAGCAGTCAGATCCGCTTTTATATTGGGGGTGAATGAAACTTGGAACCAACTCTTCAATCCTACTTGAAAGCAACTATTCTGCTTAAAAACGAAATCCATTCAGGACAACCAACAATTCTTAAACCTATGATTGATCCGCAATGGTAAAGACAATAAAGTGGTCTGTTAAGTAATTAAAGAAAAAAACAGGAAGAGATTTAGCAAAAAATGTGTAAACCCCACTAGGCTCCAATTGTATAGAACTAAAAAGAAAGGTACAAACAACCCAGTAAACAAGGAATTCACTAATTCAGCAAACAACGAACTGAACTGAAGAGAAAACAACATGAGCCTCTGTGTGTGTGCGCGCGCACGTGTGTGTGTGTGTGTGTGTGGTTGGGTATTTGTGGAGAGAAGTATTTTAATTGATTATCCTATTCTTGTTCTCCATCAAAGCTCCAAACCAGTGATGCTAGGAGAGCCTCAAAACACATGCTAAAAAATGCCCCATCCAATGGTGTAGCCAAACAAGATTCAAAATCCATAAAAACCAATAATTCCTCAGTAGATAATAAACTGGATTGCAACCCAAGAACAATCTGAACCAAACTCAATGCAGAACTCTTAAAATACCAAGCTAACAACCATACAAGGAGAAGCTTCTGATCAAGAATAATTTCTGGTAAAATAAAGCCTTGTAATCTCAAAGAATGACTCAATAAGTCATCCAGGAACGAGAAATGGCAAATGAGTAACCAAACTACATAGTAACCCAGAGAGCAAACTTCCCTAATACGAAGATCAACTCTTAATATGTAAGTTCTATAAATATAAAACTAAAATCCGAACAGATATGGTAACGATTGAGAGTATATGATGGCATTTCACTTGGATACTAACTCTTAACCTAAGCACATGCACAAAACGTTGAGTTTCATGAAACAATTCTAACCACCAGATATTATGGAGTTTAGTTTCGTATCAACCCTTGAATTTGAAACACTGAAGAGATGCACCAGTTTAAGATTCTAAGAAGACTAACATGAGGGCAGGAGGTTGCTGATTCATGTTATTTCCTGCCATTCCAGATGCTGAAAATGAAGAACTTGTATTAGAATTTGTTCCATTTTCCTTCTTGTATGCAGGTTTGCCATGCATAGCACTGGCATCTGATTATTAGGAAAAAACTGATGAGTGAGAATATATTTAACAAAATAAAACAGAAAACTCTAATAAACATAGAATGACCTGCCCAAAATTGCATTTCCATGTGTACATACCGGAACTAAAATGGTTTGAGCCACCACGTCCAACATAACGGTCTGTACTGCTCCTGCCACCACGATTGGAAGTGCTGCTGGCACCTCTAGACCTGGATTCCGGTGTATCCTTATTCTGAAACAATAAATTAAGATAAATGAAAAGGGATAACAGGAAACATATCCATCTGCAGTGTGAAATAAATTGAAAGCTTGGAAAAACTTCAAAAAGCTTTGAGAAGATTCTCGATCCCACCAAGTGAAGGGGAAAAGTAGAATAACATGCAAGCCCTCGTGTAGGAAAAAAATGTAATTTGCCAAAGCAATACTTTGAAGAAGTTTTTGTTCTTTTTGATGCGGGGCGGGCGCACTAGTGGAGCCAGTCATGTTCCAGGCCCACCCTAAAATTTTTTGAAAAACGTTGCCTATATGTATTCGCAATATCTTTTCAATAGACTGAAATTTGTCGACCCTATCATTTTCTTGTCCATCAATTAGTGTAGATCCATACCTAAAGGATTATGAATTTTTGTACATCCTCCATACACGTTACAGGCATGCTCGGGTAAGTTTTTGGACATGTTGAGGTCATTAAATAATTTTTTCTTTAAAGAGGTCATTTTGTTATTCTATAAAAATTAGGGTCATTATGTAATAAATTAGAGCATTGAATTTTCAAATCTATTAGGGATTAGGGATCTTGATCAAAAAATGGTTGAGACAAAATAAGACGTGGCATATCCGCTAGTTTACCTATGTCTTTTGGTCCCTTTATGTTTAATGAATCTTTAAGTATCAAACATGTTAATAATTACAAACTAGTGACAGACTCATGTGATGCATATTATATACAGTTCGTTCCAACTTCTGCCCCTTCCCACTTCCCCCTTCCCCCCTCCCCAAACACCCATCACATGGAAAACAAATTATTAAATAATGGAATGATACAAACAAATATTTTTTTTCCAAATATTTAAATGAGTAGGAGTTAATCAGTGGGAAGGAGTTGTTGCATGGACAGGGGGTAGTCTAAGATTGAATGAAACTTAGTTTTGTAATTAAATGAATAAAAATTGTAAAAAGCCGGGAAAATTGGGAGGGAAAGCATCTCAAACCCTATCCCTCTAATTTGATTATTTTAATATGTAAATCGAAGTATCATAAATAAAATTTACAGTTAGAGTGCCCCCCAAGAACCAGTTTTTGGCTCTGCCCCTGGGAGGGAGGGAGGGAGGGAGGACTAACTTGCACATAAGTCCTTATGTATCACATATATATTAAACTCACATCTCACACCGACTGGGATTTGTGACAGGAGCCCAGAAGCCACTGCAATTTCACAACAAACTCATTCTGTACAGAATGTGGGAAGAAAGTAGTGGCAACACCCTTCCCCCCCCCCCCCCCCCCC